AAAAAAAAAAAAGAAAGGAAGAAGATGAGTCGAGCTTTTTTATTTTTTTATTAAAAATATAAATTCTAAACAAATTTAATCTATGAGTTGGCATCAAACACGTCATCAAAAAAAAATTCCAAATCAACACTTTTTAATGTTCTTTTTGCCATGTCATAAAAAAAACATAAAAAATGCCACATGGCGGAGTTAATGGTCTAAATTGACAGAAAACTAACGGTGTACATTTCTTAGAGTTAAGGGATCAAAAAAGTGCAAACAATTATTGAGGGACCAAAAATGTGCAACTCACTAAAGTTGAGGAATCAAATTTAACATTTAACCTTCCCTTAACTTTCATATCGTGGGACTTATTTAGCACAACTTTTTCAAAAAAGTGTTATATTGAACTTGATACCAAACAAGAAAAAGTTAAAAGCTCTACCCATATTTCGAGAAAATGAGCAACCAAACATACAATAAATATTATAACAAATAAAGAATAAATTTGATATTTTGTTATTTTTACCCTTGATGCAACTTCAATTAGGAAAATTTTATTGCACTATTAGGAGGTAAAAATTTCCCTTAACTTTCATATCGCAGGACTTTTTTTTTTTTTTAACTAAGGGGAATTATGAGGGATGGGGGAAGTAGTGCCTGGATGTAGAACCCAGGACTTGCATGTCATAGAACGTTTCATGTAAGTTATGATCATTAGGCCACATAGTACTAGACTATATCGCAAGACTTGTTTAACACAACTTTTTCCAAAAAGTGTTATATTGAACTTGATACCAAACAAGAAAAAGTCAACACGTCCACCCATATTCAAGAAAATGAACAATTAAAAGATACATACGTCATTATTTTTTATTCAAAAATATAAATTTTTTGAATTTTTAAACCAAGCAGCAAACTTTTTTTTCTTTTCTAAATAAGGATAAAAATTTTATTTTTTTTATTTAAATATTTATTAGATGACAATATGATGATGTCACAAACAATAATTTTAATCGGAATGAGGCAAAATTTGTTTCTTTAAATTGAAAAAATAGTAAAATTCAGATCTTTATCTAAACCTTTTCTCCCTAAATTTCCTTACAAAAGTTTACCAATTTTCTCAAAAACTATCTTGAAAAAGATGGTCTCAAATTGACCAAAAAACCTTTAGTTTTCTGTTCAACATAAATTGACTAGAGAGTCCTCAGATTAAAAAAATTACCTATTAATTATTGACATGTTCTATTTTTTTTTTTTAGTTTATAAGTTTTTATTTACTCTTAAATTGGTCTAAAATTTTTCAAAAAAAATATCAAAATAATTTTTCTGTAAATTTCCATTAGATTTCCTAACAAAATTCGATGGGTTTAATACCTTTTTTGGTCCCTCTACTATAGAAAAAAGCTTTTTTTTTTTGTTTTTACTGTTCACAAATCTGATCCCTTTTTAGTCCTTCTGTTAAATTTTGGCTGATGTTGCAGATTAATTAACGGAAACACTCATTCTTTTTTTTAACTAAATTACATGAAAAATCCACGTGAGAAAAATTAATGACATGTTAAATTTTTTATCTTTAATTACTGATATACCCTCATCTTCTTCCCCGGCTTCTCCTTCTTCTAACCTTTTTTTTTTTCTTTTTTTTCTTTTACCTCCAGGCGAACCCAAGAGCCTAGGTTCTCGAGGAACCCAGCTCGCAATGCAATGCGCCATGGAGGAGCCACCTTTTCTTCATCCTCCTCTGTTCTTCTCAAAAACCCATTAGCTCACTTGGGCAATATCCTCCTCATCGCCTCGCTTACCAAAACCTTATCAGAATCCAGGACTCGGAACCTTGATCCCAACTCCACCCCCATCTAAGAATGGCGATGGGGTTGTCATCAGAGTCAACGAGAGCGACCCGGGTGGACACCCTGATGTTATGCTTCTGCGAATCATCAATTGCCAAGACGATCGGCACCGACATGTTGACGACGGACCCATCACCCAGCCGGAGCGAGTTGAAATGAAGAGTTTGGAGGAACTCGAATTCTCTCATGAATCCGCCAAGCGGGCTTGCCCAGCCCTCGCTCAGTACTTGCACCCATTGCAGGTCGCTCTTTGTCAACCTGATTTTAGGAAGCGACACCGCCTCCTGTTTCTTGATGTTCCGTTTCGAATCCTCCACAAAGAGCTCCACCAGCTTGCCGCCATCTGGTTCGATCAAACCTGCCTCGACCCTGACTCGGACCCCAACCCTTTTTGTCTGGCACTAGGCCTAAAACTAAGAGAAATCGACAATTTAGGGGTGGAGACAAAATGGGTAGTAAGGGAACCGTTCAAGAAGTGAGAAAGGAGAGGCATTTTGGCAAAAAGGTCAGGCATTGGTGCAATTAAAGAGAGAGAACCAACGTGTTTTGGTTCTTCTTCTTCTTCTTTTCTTGGGAGGACGGTGGGGAAGGGAAAGGGGAAGATGTAAGATTATTATTGGAGTGGAGTGAGTAGGGGAAGAAAAGGGGGTTCAGGAAAATGAGCTTGTTTTGTTGAGTTTTGATAAGTATGGACAAAATCAAGAATGGTGGGTTTTATAGGCTGTGTGTGTTTTTGATGGATGACTGTGACTTGCAGGGGATGAACCTAGACACAGACAATTTTACTTGCTTATCTCTTTCTTCACTAATTTTTAAATGAAAAAGGAAGAGTTCCTCGCGAACCCAAGAGCTTGGGTTCGCCTGGAGGTAAAAGAAAAAAAAAAGGTTGGAGGAAGGAGAAGTCGAGGAAGAAGATGAGGGTATATCAGTAATTAAAGGTAAAAAATTTAACATGTCATCAATTTTTGCCATGTGGATTTTCCATGTAATTTAGTTAAAAAAAAAAAAGAATGAGTGTTTACATTAATTAACCTACCACATCAGCCAAAATTTAATGGAAGGACTAAGAAGGCGTCAGATTTATGAATGGAAGGACTAAGAAGGCGTCAGATTTATGAACAGTAAGGACAAAAAGGAGATTTTTTCGGTATAAGGACCAAAAAAGGGTTTTTTCCTATAGTAAAGGGACCAAAAAGGGTATTAAACCAATTCTATGTCAGCGGTTTTGTGGCACTGTGTAAACAGCATGTAACTTAAAAAAAAAAAATTACATTTTAACTTAGAATTAACCGCTAGTATATTTTCTTATTATGAACATTTGACAGTATTAATTTATTTTAATCTTCGAATTATTCTATTGATCATTTTTCCTTATTGCCAACCTTTTTTTTTATCATTGAAATGTAATTTTCTTGAATCATGCATGGCATCTATGTTGTGCCATATACGTATCTATTTACTTACATTTTATTAGAAAAACAAAACTTTGATAGGTACACCATTTTGATAGGCTTTTTGAAGTTTCAAAATCTATTTTAAAGAAATAATTTTTTTTTTTTTTGGGATTAGATAATTATAAGAGGCAATCATCTTTTATTTTTTAACTCATCTCACTTATATGTTATATGATTTTAACCCAGATTCTTTTTCTTTCATAAGGATAACCCTAGAGCCACTTAAGTGGTTTTACTTGAACATACAACTTTTAGAGTAAAGTATTGACAAATCAATCGTTAGTGAACCAAACTCTAAATTTAACCAGAAAAAAATATGATATTTGGTTTGTAATATCATTTGATTAGTATGTTCCATCCCACCCACTTCATTTTTTGCCAAGTTCCATCCCACTTAGGCACTTACTAAAAGAGGCATCTCTCCTTCATTAAATTTTTGTATCTTGAGCATCTTCCTTTTCTGTTCAAAGAAAGCTGTCAATTTTTTTTATGTGAAACGAAAAAGGAACATTGATTGGTACATTTTTTTATTTAATATATTACATAATATATTATTTGAAAAATTATAAATTTTTATTTAAAATTAAAGGTAAATAAACTTAAGAATGCAGTTCTGCATACAGTATATAAGAATTAACTGAATTAACTATATTTATCTTATATTTTCATAACTAAATTAATAAGTATTAAAAAGTGTGTTAAACTGAAAGTGTACCAATTAATTTTCAAAACAAAAGCTTTCAATTTTAATATAGTTATTGATGAAAAGAATTAGTTGATACTATTAGAAACTGAAAAAAAGAAGAATAATTTAAAAAAAAGTTTATTGCTTTCTTGAATAATACTACTATATGTGCAATGACCTATATATAGGTGTTTACAAAGAGAATATTTTAAGGTATAAAGTATATAAAGAGAATATTTTAAGGTATAAAATATTTACAATAAGTGGATTCATATCTTAACATCCCCCCTCAAATTCAAGTTGGTTTCAACTCTAGGTGGTTGTGATGAAACCAACTTGAGTTTGGAAAGAAGAGTACGAAAGCGTCTAGGAAGATAAGCCTTGGTTAAAAGGTCCGTTGGTTGATTACTAGAGCTAATGAAAACCAAATGAACAATCCCTTGTGCAACATGATGGCGAACAAAGTGACAATCAACCTCAATGTGTTTAGTGCGTTTATGGAAAACATCATTATGAGCAATCTATATGACACTCTGATTGTCATAATACAGATTAGTAGCAGGCGGTTAAGGAACCCCCATATCTTTCAGTAGCCAACGTAAGTTAAGTAACTCTGATGTGGTGTCTCCAAGTACTCAATATTCGGCCTCTGTGCTAGAACGTGATAGAACTGTCTACTTCTTGCTACACCAAGAGATTAAGGAATCACCACGAAAGAGACAATATCCAGTGGTTGATTTACGATCATTAGAGCCTCCAACCCAATCAGTGTCTAAGTAAGCATGAAGTTCAAGAGATGAGTGAGCATAAAAGTGAAGTCCATGAAAATATGTTCCCTTAACATAGCGAATAGTGCAAAGTACTGCTGCATAATGAATGTAGCAAGGAGCAACCATAAACTAACTAACAATGTGAATTGCATATGCTATGTCGGGGTATGTTGTGGTAAGATAAACCATACTACCAACCAATTGCTAATAGAAAGTAGGATAAAAAAGTGGAGAGCCATCCATAGGTGTAAGCTTGACATTAGGGTCAAGAGGTGTAGAAACACTTTTGCTATCACTGAGTTCAGCTTTAGAAACAAGATTAGAGGCATACTTTACTTTAGAAAGTAGGTAGCCATCATCTGAAGACAACTTCAGGCCCCAAAAAATAGCTCAAAACACCAAGATCTTTCATCTCAAATTTCTAACTGAGAGACTATTTTAACTCCTTAACACTTGCGATATCATCTCTAGTAACAATCATTTCATCAACATAAAGAAGTAAAAGAACCATATGCCGAGCAGTCTTATGAATGAATAGAGTTGTATCATGTGGACTCAAAGTAAAACAAAAAACTTTGCATACCAGGCTCGAGGGGATTTTTTCAACCGGTACAATGCACGTCGTAATCGACATACCTTCTTTGGAGGATGGTTGAGCCTAAAAGGTGGTTTCATATAAACTTCTTCTTCTAAGTCACCATTAAGAAAGCGTTTTTCACATCCATCTGAAATAGTTTCCATCTCCGTATAACAACAATAGCAAGCAAATTGCGCACAAATGTGAGACAAGCAACTGGAGCAAATGTTTTCCCATAGTTTATTCCATACTCTTGTGTAAAGCCCTTGGCAACCAAGCGTGCCTTATAACGCTCCATACAGCCATCAAATTGTGTTTTGATCTTGTACACTCATTTACAGCCTATTAAGAACTTTTCAGCAGGGAAATCAACTAAATCTCATGTACAAGTGTTCTCAAGAGCCTGTAATTCATCTTGCATAGCTTGTTGCCAAAGAGGTTTAGTAGAGGACTCTCGAAATGTTTGAGGCTCATGTAAAGAAGTAATAGTAGAAAAACAGTGATGATCACGAAGGTAGCTAGGAAGGTTTCTTATCCGAATAGGATGACTCAAGGATGGGACAACAAGCTCATTTGGAGACTCAACAATATCAAATGTAACATCAACAGGTGATACTAAACCTTTTCAATGCTCTTGCTACTCCAAGTACCAAACCTTGGTATTTTAATTTTGGTTGTTGTAACCATATGTCTTCAATTATTGCTCATCTCTCTTCAATATCACCAAATAGTTCCTTTCCTGATATTTATTTTGCTAATGGTTCCCCTATGAATGTTAGTCACATTAGCAATATTTCTACAAAGTCATTGACTTTACCAAATGCCCTCTTAGTTCCAGATCTTAGTTATAATCTTCTATCTATTGGTCAGTTATGGTACAAAATCAATTATCATAATCATATCAATTAATTATAATGTGAACCCAATCAACATAATTATAATATGAATATTCTGTAACATCCCCCCTCAAATTCAAGTTGGTGATGAGGAGACCAACTTGAGTTTGGAAAGAAGAGTGCAGCAGTGTCTAGGAAAGTGAGTTTTTGGTGAAAAGATCTACATACTAAATATGCAAATCGATGTAGTTGATGTCGTTGGAGGAGAAGGAGGCAATATCAGATCTGGGCAACAACAATGTCAAAAGTTTAATCGTGAGAAATCAAGACCAAAATCAATGGCAAGAAATCAAGAGCAAAATCAGTGGCAATTGGATGGGAAAAGGCTGGAGAAACATTGGCCGTGGGAGTAACACATATTGCCAGTGCAACAAAGGAACAAGATCAAGAAAACCCAATTGCAAATAAGTCCAAGAAAGAAAGCAAAGATGATGATGATCGGCATCACCTACAAGCAAAGCAGTTAGTCACAAAGGAGATGAACAGTAATAGTAAAAAAAGCCTTAAAGCTCTAATATCATGTTAGAAATTGAAAAGAAGAAAAAGAATAATTTTAAGAAAGGTTTAATTACTTTCTTGAATAATACTATATGTACAATTACCTATATGTATGTATTTGCAAAGAGAATATTTTAAAGTGTAAAGTATATAAGGAGAATATTTTAAAGTGTAAAGTATATAAGGAGAATATTTTAAGGTACAAAATATTTACAATAAGTGTGTTCATATTTTAATAGATACAATGGTTAGTGGCGCTCCCCTCATCTCATTGATAATGAATGAATGTATATGAACATATATTTATTGTACTTATTACTTTCATGGTCTTATATAGCCTAAAATACTCATCAGTCTCGCAATGGTAGTTAGTTTTTTACTCTTTTTTTTTTTTTTTAAGGTTAAGAATTTTAAAACAATTTATATTTTATCTATATTATCTTTAAAAATTAAAAAAATTTAAAAATATTAATTATAAGATAAATAAGTAAAATTAGGAGATAACGATAAATTTAAAGTAGATAAAAATGTCTCTTTTAAACTATGAAAACAAGACAATTAATTTAGAATATATTATAAATTAAAAAAAAATGACTTATTGTGAAACGAAGAGACTATAGTAATTCATCTAAATAAATATTGCAAGTTTGTTTGAATTATTATTTTTTAAGGTATATTTAATTTGAGAGAAATTAAGAAAAGAGGAAAGAAAAAAAAATTATCATGTCTTAATTTAATTGGATAAAAAAAATTTTCAAAACCTTCTTTCATTTTTTCCAAGCAAAATATATCTTTAGTCTGGAT